GCCGAGTTTTCACTAGAGCTTTCTCTCCTCTCCGTCTAAATACATGTCTATTTTATAATAGAGGGCCATTAGTATATTTAAAGTAATTATGTTTCTGGAGAGGTTTTAAGTTGCAGAAAAGTAAGCAGGTTCTCTCTCTGCGATGTTACATTGTATCCTTTAATGAGACCTTATTGCTAGGCATTCTCTCATTAAAAAGGGATTTTACATGGTATAAAGAAGAGGACGTTATTAAATACAAGAAGAGGAGAGGAAACCACGACCCTAATCTTTTCGACAAGCACATCCCCAGCTTAGTTTTGCTTTTCACTAGAAAAGTGAGTGAGATTTTCTCGGCTAAATGCATGCACGTGGGCAAAGAGAGAATTTCTTTACCTTGATAAAATAAATATGAAAGCTTTTATCGGAAAAAAGGAGACACTCTTAGAAAATTGGTATTAAATCAGGTACTGACTGGAGTACATATAAATATGGCTTTACCGGCACGGTGTAATACCGGTAATGAAAAATTTACATTCAGAAACAAACTACTACCAATCCGGTAGAAATTTGCTACCAAATCAATTCTAGTACATTTATGTATAACTCTACCGGCACTCGTAATGACGGGTATTACCGCTTAGTAATGAAAAATTTACCAGTCACAAACAAATTACTACCAATCTGGCAGGAAGTTAGTTCCAGATCAATCCCAGTACGGAGTATATATGTCACTCTACACCTTAGAAAACTGGTATTAAATCATTACCGACCGGTGTACATACTTATATATATGACTCTACTGGCACTCGTAATAACGGGCATTACCGTCTTTACTAAAGACTCTTTAGTAATGTTGTAGTAATGAAAAATATACCATTAAGAAACAAACTACTACCAATCCGGTAGAAAGTTATTACCAAATCAATACCAGTACGGAGTGTATATCTGACTCTACCAGATTTTTAACAGTGTGCTTTTCCCTGCTCTGCTGGTATGAAATCACGGCATGTGCCCTGATCTCTTAGATACTTGAGACGGAGTACTCGAGATTTTGATGACTTGATGAGAATAATGCCCTTATAAAACTGAGATTATTAAATACGCAGTAAATTGCTAAGAAGTCCTTAAAATTTACTAATTCGATTCTCTGGAATGCTATATTTAGCTCAGTAATTAATACGTATGAAAAACTTCTTCTTTATAAAAGCGGAATTATTAAGTACCAAATAAATTGCTGAGAAGCTAAGACGTCCTTCGCAAAATTTACTAATTTGATTTACTCGAAAGCTATATTTAGCGTAGTAATTACGAAAATGTCTCTTTATAAAACTGGGACTATTAAATACGAAGAAAATTTCTGGCTAAGCAGAAGTCCTAGAAATTTGTTATAAGTATATTTGTAATATTTGTAATAAGACATCCTTTGCAAAATTCGCTAATTTGATTTGCTCCAAAGCTATCTATATTTAGCCCAGTAATTAATGTCGCTGGTCAATTCAATGTTTTGAATAGCCACTCCCACTACCAGCAGCGAGCCTATTCAGGTTTGGGTGGGTGTAGTCTCTTCGCCGGTTGAAAGGATGAGACTTCTGCTTTCCTCCGAGAAATGGTGCAAATAATGTGTGCACAACAAATGACGGTCTCTTTAATGCAACGCCAATTTATTGTCACAATTTAACTCACTAATTATTACACCAATTGTCCACTATTAGGACCACTGTCTCAGCAGTAAGTCTGCTCTGTTCCTATTCTAAACTACGACTCTTTTCTACCTCTTGTTAACCTTTACTCAAATCCAAGGTTAATTGTTCATTGCCTTTCTTTCTCTTGCCAACTCACCACCACCGCGAATCAAAAATAGTGGGGCGACTTAAGACACAAAAAAGAGAGATTTTCATGCATGAAAAGCTTATATTACGCAAAACAATGAGTCTCATTTCCAGTCGAGCATAAAGGAAATGAACGGAAGTCTTACTTAGGAGTCTTGAATTGCAGGCTGATTCTATTCCCTTCTTGGAAAAAGCGGGTTGAAAGAAAGATAAGGTACAAAAGGTTCGTACGGATGAATAAGTCCAGTCCAGTCTTGCGAATCGAATCAGTCTCGACGAGAATTTTGTGTCCATTCGAAGTCCTCGGAATGAATGGGGGAGGATTACTGGAGGACAAATAAGGGAGGTCGACCAGCGGATGCGCTCCGATTTTGACAAAAAACTTGTGATCACAAATTTAATTAGAATGAAATTTGGGAAAGACCCGATCTCCCAATGGGCACGTTTGGCAGAGATATTTGCATCCGAAGAGGAGAAAACGCGCCTTAAAGTCGACAAATTTTACACTTTCCAAATTTACCGCGCGTTTTCTCCTCATCGGATGCAAATATCTCTGCCAAACGTGCCCATTGGGAGATCGGGTCTTTCGAAAATTTCATACTAATCAAATTTGTGATATATTTTCCCAAAATCCGACAGCATCCGCTGGGAGACCTCCCTTGTTAGTGAATTGAAGAGAAAGTCTGTGTCTTTTCTCCTCCTAGAAAATAAATTTCATCATCCCACCACCATTCCGAACGAGATAAAAGCGAAGGTAAAATCTGTTGAGGGAAGAAATCTCCTGAGCAGTTAGTTTGTCGCGACAGTGGCCGCGGAGAAGCTGGAGGGGACAATGTCCCCACGGTTATTTGATGTCCCCATGTTATACAAACCCTTCCTTCCCCTATTCTACGATGTTAATGTCTCCCCAGTTTCCGCGGCGCCTGTTAGTGGATGACCTATAAAGTATGGATGGATGTCAGGTTGGCGCCTAAGTGGAGGAGTAGGGATTAAAAGAGGAGTAAAAAGAGGACACGCTACTAACGACGAGCTTAATACAGATGGAGCTCAAAGTATAGCTTTTGGCTCAGCACCATCCAAACTGCAGCATCAGCTTGTCTTTCGTCCTCTTAAAATAGATAATATTTTACGCCAAGATTTCATTCATCGCGGGATTACGATGAGCCATATATGTACATACGCGCTTAGAAAAGTGGTATTAAATCATTACTGACCGGCGTACATAAATTTACGACTCGACCAAATATGCGATAATAATGTTTTTTTGGTGTACTAAAAGTTTTACCACTGAGAAACAAACTACTACCAATCCGGTAGAAAGTTATTACCAAATCAATACCAGTAAGTACATATATGTGACTCTACACTCTTAGAAAACTGGTATTAAATCATTACTGACCGGAGTACATATCTATGACTCTACCGGTATGCTAATAACGGCCATTACCCTTTAAAATGTTGTAGTAATGGAAAATTTACCACTCAGAAACCAACTACTACCAGTCCGGTAGAAAGTTACTACCAAATAAATCCCAGTACGGTTTGTCGACCAGATTTTTAACAGTGTCCGTCCATCAGCTTTTACTTGGGTGCGTCTAATTTGTCTCGAGCAAATGGTCATTTTTTATCCCCGTTAATGCCGAACACGAGTAATCGCTCAGGTTGTGACATGAATTTTCCATATTCGGTCGGATGGACGAGATCCAATTTGCCCGAGAGACAAGACAAGGAATGGAATGAGGGAGAGAGAGAAAACCCGGGAGAATATCCGCCTTCCTTAAGTGCCTACCTTTTTCCGAGGTCTTCGACTTCTTGTTATCCACCATCCACCACCACCCATAATGCGCAGGAAGAAGGAGAGTTTGCTGTGACATGAACCATACCATTCCTACAAAGTCGTCCTCGAGAGTTGAAACTCTGTATTAAATGGGAAGGTTGATGATGATGGGTAGGGTTTGGCACATTTCTTGCAGTGCAAAAGGGAGAAATGCGAGGTGCAAGAAACTGGGAGAAATGTGCTTCTTCTAGCCACGTGTGTATGAAATATTCGCGGCGGGGCATAGTTTTTTGCGCCGTGTATTTCTTGCAGGTCAAAATAGCTGCAAAAAACACTCTTTACCGTTATTTCTTGCAAGTGGTTACTTTCAAGAGTTTCGTTTCTTGCGGGTTTGTCACATTTCTTCCAGTGCCAAGCGAGAAACGCGAGAAATGCGAGGTGGAAGAAACTGGGAGAAATATGCATTTGCATTTCTTACAGGTCAAAATACTTACCTCCAAAAAACCACTTTCTCCCCGTTATTTCTTGCATTCGAAACATTGATGATGTGTTTTTGTGTATTCTGCATTATTTTCTCACGGACGTAGATTTAGTTGTGACTTGAGCGCTCACGTGGATGGAGAATATGTATGCGTGCATGTTGTTCTGTGTGTGTTCTGCTAGAGAGAGAAGAAGAAGATGCATTTCATCCTTGCTTCCTCAATGGCAATCGGGAGTTATTTTTATCCCGAGGAGAGAGAAATGGGACCGATTAATGCATTTTATTAGAGTCAAAGTGTAAATAGAGCTAATCTGATGTCGCCGTAGTGCGGGTGGCGCCACGACACTTATCGGGAGAATGCGCTCGTAAATTGCATATTATTTAATATGGGATGAAACTATATTATGTGAAGACTTTGTCCGTCTGTCTGTCAGTAGGATAACGGATCGAGATCATACCTGTTCAAAAATTCAGGTTTCATTCAAAGTCAGTCATTCCTATTTCTGACCGAAGATTTTCATTCACTTTCAGTCATTTTCTTTCAAATTCATTTCATTTCCCTTCATCTGACTTCATTTCTTACTTCGCCTCATGTATTAAGTACAGGGTGAAAAATTAAATGAGTAAGAAATCATTTCATTCACAGTCATTCATCTGCAATGACGGAATCCCTTAGTCATTTTCATTCTCAAATTACAGGAAATTCACTTACACTCACCATCATAATCACATTAATGAATGAAAGTGAACAGGTATGATCGAGATTGCTTTGCGGCATAATACGTATGACCCCATGGGGAAGGATCCTATCAGCTTTTGGGGCTAATTTCCCCCCCACTGAAGTCATGGGAATATTTTCTGAATTACCTGTTTCACCCCGTTGCTACATTTCGTTTCCTCGTATTTACTTGTTGTCTTGATTTATTTGCAGGTGTGTGGAATGTCACGGCCTATTTTCCCCGGCGCGCTTTGTAGCCCACTCTCACCACCGGCAGGAAGTGAGGACTTGTCACTGGGGATTCGACTCGTCCAAGTGGAGGCACTACCTCCTCCTCGACAGGGATGAGGATCCAGAAAAATGGACAAAGTCGTTGGCCGAGTTTAAAGGAAAGTTCGAACAGAAACGAAAGGTAAGAAAAAAGACAGTTTTTTTTAGAAATGTGGATGAAAATGAGTGGGTGCGAACAAGGGAAATCAGAGGACCAAAAAAATGCGGGTCAAATTCGGACCCGGAATAAAGACATTTTTGTGGGGGACCTTTTTGAAAGGGAAAAAATTGGAGGATTTTTAAAAAAAAAACAAGAGAAAGAAATTTGGGTGGTGTTTTTTTAATGGAAATGCGGGATAAAAAATTTTAGATTATTTTTGAGTGACAAATAGAAAACAAGATTTTGAGATTTTTTATAGATAAAAAATTCAGAGAGAAAAATTTGGGGAATATTTTTTTAGGGGAGAAACAGAAAAATTGGAGATTTTGTGTATAGCAGAAAACAAAACGAAAAAAATGCACAAAATTTTATACCGGAAAAGCAGAAGCAACAAAATTTCGAACTATTTTCATATAAATAACGGGACCAAAAAAGACAGAAATCACACCCACGCTAAAATTGTCTCCATCCGAAACAAAATGATAAGCCGCACATGCACCACTCGTTATGTTTTGTTCTTCTCGAGTTGGTTGTTCATTTCAAATCAGAATGTCATTATTAGCTCAAGGTTGTTTGAAGAGCATTGTCCTCTCTCTCGCACAGGAGGAAATGTGGCATTATTATCAAACATTTCTCCTTTAAATTGAGAGAAAGGAGAGAAGGAAGGAGCTGCTCCTTTTGAGCAGTGGCCGCGGAAGGGTGGGGACAATAATGTCCCCTCGGTTGTTCGAGGTCCGCATCATTTCCATATCTTATGTATGAAACCCTGCCTCCCCCATCCTAAAATGTGAAGTCCCCATATGTCCCCACAGCTTCCGCGGCCACTGGGAGAATTCAGGCATCTCAAATCTATGAACATGATGCAGTGGCCGCTGAAGCGTGGAGACGAAGGGACAATGTCCCCACGGTTGTTCGATGTCATCTGCCCATCTTATATAAACCTCTCCCTCCCCCCATCCTACAATGGCAATGTCCCCCCATGTCCCCCACGACTTCCGCGGCCACTGCCTTTTTGAGTCAAGTATTTCAAACAAAAGCGGAGAAAGTTGGACACATCTCTGCCTCTCTCTCTCTCACTTTGTTTGACACTTGAGCATGCTCGAAACCTTGTTGATACAAACGAAGGGAATTTTGTGCTGCCTGGCACACTTTCCAACTTTTATTCGTATCTCTTCTCTAGAAATTCCTTCTGAATTAAATAAAAGGCGGAGGAGGAGGAGGAGAGGGAACTAAAATGCACTAAAATTCCCATTATTCGAGAACGGAGGAGAGACACGAACGAATTAAGTGTAACATTTTAGAATTAGAATTTTGAAACGAAGTTTTGCACCCACGCGAAAAGGAAGTGGATTTTGTATGCGATAAATAATTTCGTTGCTTTGCTGCATAAAATGGGAACTTTATATGTGAAAGTTTGATTTGGGGGTTCTTTCACTTCCTGGAAATTTTGAGAATTTTGAAAATTTGTTGAGTGGACTGGACAGGTTAATTTTTATACGCGTCAGTTATTTGGGTTCCAGATTTTGTGCATTTCAGAATTAGAATTTTGAAATGAAGTTTTGCATTTCGTACGTTTTCGACCCACGCAAAAATGACATGAAGTGGATTTTGTGTGGTATAAATAATTGCGTTGTTGCATAAAATATGGAAAAACGGGAACTTTCTAAATATGTCTAACTGACAATCAAGCCTGGTTTTGTGGGTGCTTTTACTTCCTGGAAATTTGGGGAATTTGTTGGCGAACAGATTGATATTTTCAGTTATTTTTTGGCTGTGGATCCAGATATTTGATTCAAATAATTTGAATTAGAATTTTGCTATGAAGTTTTACATTTCGTTCATTTTCGACCCACGCAAAAATGACATGAAGTCAGTGGATTTTATATGCAATAAATAATTTCCTTACTGTACTGCATAAAATGGAAAGGAAACTGGAACTTTCTATGATTTTGGGGGTGCTTTCACTTCCTGGAAATTTTGAGAATTTTGAAAATTTGTTGAGTGGATGGACAGGTTGATATTTGTAAGTTTGGGATCCAGATTTGGGGCAAATAGTGACACAGCCAACAAGTATTTTGTACCCTTTCTTTTTCCTCTCCGGAATTTCTTCGCGTGGTTGAGTCGTGGTCGTGTCCGGGACGAATTGCATCCTCGTCGAGATTTTTGTTCCTTCGTGACACGTCCAATTCGGATCGGAATGAAATTAAATTTTTCTTTCTGTCTGACACGTGTCGTGTCTCGCATTCTTTCTTGGTCTGCCGCACTGACTGATTATTAAGATTGGATTGAAACGGAACGGATGGAGTGTATATTATTGATTGAATTGAGGGGAACAAAATCAGAGGTGATAGGATTCCTCCAAGCTCTTAAATTTCCCTAGAGGAGGAGGAGGGAAAACTACTGCGGGAAATGTGTCTAGCTGTCTGTCTCCATATTCTTTAATTCCATTCTCACTGAAGAGTGAATTGGATTGGAGGAGAGGAGAGGAAAATGTGGGATTTAAAGTCAGGGGGGAGAGGATTTTGGGGATTAAAAATGTTACCGAGATAAGGAGTGTTTTAAAGGGGGACATGTACATATTTGTAGATTTGTAAGATGTACACTTTGTGATGTGATTGTTACCGTTGGATGTTCTACCGCATGGTAACAACGCTACTAATAAGTTGTTTTCTCAGGGTAAGAAGTTGAAAATCTGGTGTCGGTAATATTTTTATTAGGAGAGCGGGGACATTTGGGGCTGAGCAGGATTTAGTTAGCTTCTGTGGTGATAAATTATTACCGAAGCGGTAGAACTGCATAGTACTTCCGATGGTAATAATCGTATTACAGAATTGTGGAGAGTATATCTGTAACTGAATTTGGACTGGATTTCGAAATTTGCATCAACGTTTCCGAAATCCAATATTCAACCAAACCGCCGTCTGCTTCCTGTCAGTCAAGCAGAACTCAATTATTCGTGATGCTGGGTGATGAGCTTTTTATTAAAGTTTCTCTCCATGTACCTAATTAATGGATGTTTGAAAACTAATTTTCCACCAAATTAGGCATTTCGTAATTTGTTGACTGGATAAAATTTTCCCTTTTGAGAAGAGAACACTCGTCGTCGTCGTTAGGAGATGGGACAGCCTTCGGCGTAATGATTATGCACCGTGATAGGAAAAGCTGATTTTTTGTTGGGATACAAGGGGGGTTTCCCAGTGGATGCTCTCCGATTTTGGGCAAATTGGTGCCAATTCGATGACAAATTTAATTAGGATGAAATTTGCGAAAGACAGGATCTCCCAATGGGCACGTTTGGCAGAGATATTTGCATCCGAAGAGGAGAAAATGCGCAGTAAATTTGGAAAGTGTAAAATTTGTCGACTTTAATGCGCATTTTCTCCTCTTCGGATGCAAATATCTCTGCAAAACGTGCCAATTGGAAGATCGTGTCTTTCGCAAATTTCATCCTAATTAAATTTGTCATCAATTTCCACTAATTTCCTCAAAAATCGGAGCGCATCCGCTGGGAGCCCTCCCCTATCAGAGCGACTGGGGTAACATGAGACTTCCCTTGAAGTAGACGCCTCTTATCTTATCTATCGATAAGACATCCCCAATTTTCAAAGAACTTGCTCTTTCTCTCTCCTGACAGCCCGTCAAGTGTCCCACCGTCGAAAAGTTTTCTGCGGGGGAAATATTGCTTTAAAAGAGCGACTTTCGTACACAATAATTTATGCAAGCTAAACTTTTCCCCAACGAGACAGGCCTTACAGATTTATAATGGTGCCTTTGTTATCCGGACTTTTCGTGAATAATGGCTGTTTAAAAAATTGATGGATATCTTGCCATCTGTCGCTCTGAAAAAAAAATCAATCTCTCAGAAATCCCGATTCTCTTTTTTTTAGGAAAGTTTTCTCTCTCTGTGTTGAAATGAAACGTTGAAGTGGATCAAATTCTGGGTTCGAATTTTCATGGTAGAATTGACGTGCGTTGAGAGTCATTGAAAGAAAGAGGAGCACAAAGAAAGTTTTACTTCACTTGAGATTTCACTTTTACATGGGATGGATTGATGTAGTCGGGGCTGCTTTGGGGGGCAGTGGCCGCGGAAGGTGGGGGGGAGATGGGGGCAAGTGTCCCCACCGTTGTTGTGATCTGCCCATGTTATATATGTAAATATCCTCCTGTAATGTTAATGTCCCCAGATGTCCCACGGCTTCCGCGGCCACTGTTTGTCGGGAGGAAATTGGAATGAGAGAGAAAGTCTTTTGTTTTCGGTTTGGTTGGGGAGAAAAAGCAAGCACGAAATGATGAAATGCAAGCTCAGGGGTTGTCTTTCACTAGCTAGGCAACAAAGTGAGGAGATGGAGAGGAGAGAACTTCGCTACTTGTCAATCTCGGATTTTGAAATAGTTTGAATTCGAGTGAAAATGTACAGGCAGCCCAAAATCGAAAACTGAGAAGGGCAAATAGTGGAAGCTTTTCGCCTAAGTAAATACGTAAAGAACTCGATAAACATGGGGAAAAAGTGTCATGTTAACGAAAAGTGTAAGGAACGCCATATTTGGCGGTGAAAACGACGGTTTGTCCCACGGTGGAAAACTTGTCTAGTTTTTTTGGACCATAGTTACAAATTTGTCGACAAAAACGCCGTTTTTCGGCCGTGTCTACCCTCCCGTTTATCTGGAACGTACTCATCGCAACAAAAAGATGAGGTTTAAATGGATGGATAGATTCTGAAGAACCGAGTAGAACAATGCTCTCAAGTATAATGTGAGCATTTTTAATGATACTTTAACTTCCCTCTCCTCCATTTCATCGCAGAAAAAGGAGAAAGAAAGAGAAAGCATTCTGCGGAAAATTGTAGAGTTTTTTGCCTCTTTCTTTGTTAGCTTTTCGAGAAGACGATGCGATGCGATGCTTGTCTGTCAAGGAAGGTGGATAGTATTAGATTTTTGGAGAGACCGATTTTCTTCCAAAATTGGCTGTCTCATTTTGATCTGTCCTCGAACTTGTGGGGGTTGTATTGGGGAAAGGTAAATATGCAGATATTAAGGGAAAAGGCGGATAATTTGATTTTGCTTGCCGTAATTTGGGGTATTTTGCGTTGTGCATTTAGATAAACGGGATGCTGGTCTGTAATTTCGATCAGGAAATTTAGATGATTACTTGATTTCCCTTTGATCTTGTGGAGTAATCATTTTCTTGTCGAGGCTGGTGAGGTGTTTCAAAAGTGAAAGTCAAATCGAGAGGATGCTAAAGTATCAAAGGGGTGGATGTGGATGTAATAATGGGCAGGGGGCGGATATCTATTTATTTCCGAGCTTTTCATTGGAAGATTTCAAAAGATTTTTTATAGATTTCTAGGTTTTCATACATATTTATAAATATTTCCGTCATTATTTGAAAAATACGTAAATCTTTTACACATTTTTTTAAAAATACGTGTATTTTGTAAATATTTAAACGATACGAGACGAATTTTTGTACTGAAAGAAATTGGACCACAAATAAGACAATTAAGTACAAATTTTTCGAAAATTCTATTTTTTGTTTTTATTCGTACATATTTTTAGCATTTTTAATGAAAATATTATTCCGTGATTTTTCGTAAATACATATCCGCCCTCTGCTACTAATAAATCATATTAAATATTTGATCTTGCGCAAGTTTACTGAATGCTCAATATTTCGTAAATATGTTTTCCTGCCCCCAAATTTCTGGGAAACGTCGCCTTGACGTAAATAACTAAATTCAAAGGAGGACGACGTGTTGCACGGCGGAGTTTGGGAGAGCGAGAGAGCAATAAAATATGATTTGATTCCGTTTTGTGATCACACTTTGAAAGGGAAATAAATTCCAGAGTTTTGCAATTTTTGGTCCAATTTACAGTAAAAAGGTCTCTGGCTCCTTTGAGTCGTGATATTATTGTGAAATGAGGACAATACGATTTCCTACGAATTTTGGACGAATATGAAATGAAATGAAACTCGTTGATAGGAAATTTTATATGATTTCTTATTTTATTGGATGATTGGCTGGGCAATCAGAGAGGGGAGAGAAAGTTGTAACTTGAGCTACTTTATGCGAAAATTTTGTCTGTCTGTCCGTCCGTCCTTATGTCCGTCCGCAGGGAAACTGATCGGATACTTATGACCCCAGGGGGAGATCTTATCAACTTTTGGGGTCAATTGAACCACACCCTCCGTCGGGGGAAAATGAGATTTTAAATTAAATTTAAATCTATGCATGAAATTAACTGTTCCCGCGCTGTCATGGCGTGTTATGGGGGTGAAGTGAGACTGAAGCTACCTCTTTACGTGCGTTTACTTTCACTAGGACCACACGTTCCCTTTTTTCGTATTGGTTTGCTAAAATCTGGTAACTTATCATTCCCAATGTGCTCCAGG